GCGGTATTATTAAATGCATCTTTTGGAAAAGGTAAACAGCGTATTTTAGGTCTGTCTGGCAGGACATGGGGAGCAAGGCACCGGGGGGCCAAGGACCAGCTAACTCATCACACAAGTGACTCTGGAGGTCAGGGGTCTGAGGTTGGGGGGGCAAGAGCCTCCCCTCGAGCCTTGAACACCCCCAATTCCCCTGGGCTGGCTGCGGCTGAGGGGGCTGAAGGCCCCCATTTTCCTCCCAGGGAGGTGGGAGCTTTCACCCCACTGCAGTTTCCACCGGGCAAATGCCACAGACACGGGAGGCCCCTTATAAAACCCCATTTTCAAAGAAAATTCAACTTCTCGCACCCCTACAGGAAAAAACAAAACCAAAACCAACAAAAAGCCTTTTTTATTCCCCCAGCCCGAACAGTTGCAAGTAAAGCAAAGGATGGACGAGATGATTAAGATATAAAAGTGCAAATAAATCAATCGGTCGAGACACTGTGCAAGGTAACGCGCACTTGGGCTGGTGAATGGGGGGTGGAATTGGGGCTGAACTAAGCCGTAACATTTAGAGTAAAACTGCAGCAGCAGAGAAAACAAGCCTAAAAAAATACACAGTTTACAGCTGATGGGAGTAAGCACAGTACGTTTCAAAAGCAGTATTTTGACGCAGCTTTAACGGCTCTATCAGGAATGGTAAAAGTTTCAAAGCAGCACAAAAATAATTAAAAAAAAAAGATAAAAGCAATTGAATTATCTGTTAGGTTTTTGTTCTTAAGGAGTTTCAAGTTTTAGGAGCTTTAAAAAAAAAATCTCTTGCATGTTTCAAAGAAGGGGATTCATTTTTGAAAGGCCGACCATATGGAGGCAATATTGGTTTTTAAGTACGAGAATGTTTTGAAATGAGTTCTCCCTGCAACAATATTTAAAAGCAGTTTTTAAAAAAAAAAAAACCAAAAAACAAAAAACAGCGAGGAAAAAAGGCAATTCTCCTTTAAATGCAGAGGAACATGGGGGGGGAGAGAAAATGATCTTCCCTGCTAGTGGTGGGTAATGTACACATACACGTATATATAATTTAGAAGGACAAAAAGCAAAGGGACTCCAGGTCCGCACCTCTGCAGTTTAAGATCTTGTGCAGACACGGCCCGTGGCCCCCGCCCCCCACCCCTCCCCACAGCCCTTCTCACCCGCCGCGGCGGACA